TATTGCTGCAATAACCACTAAAGAGGCGTACACAGCCACGCCCTTCCACCCACTAAACACTAAACACTGTGTCGTCATATTGCTGCAATAACCACTAAAGAGGCGTACACAGCCACGCCCTTCCTCCCAAACAACACTAAACACTGTGTCGTCATATTGCTGCAATAACCACTAAAGAGGCGTACACAGCCGTGCCCTTCCACCCACTAAACACTAAACACTGTGTCGTCATATTGCTGCAATAACCACTAAAGAGGCGTATACAGCCGCGACCTCCCACCCACTAAACACTAAACACTGTGTCGTCATATTGCTGCAATAACCACTAAAGAGGCGTATACAGCCGTGCCCTTCCACCCACTAAACACTAAACACTGTGTCGTCATATTGCTGCAATAACCACTAAAGAGGCGTACACAGCCACGCCCTTCCTCCCAAACAACACTAAACACTGTGTCGTCATATTGCTGCAATAACCACTAAAGAGGCGTATACAGCCGCGACCTCCCACCCACTAAACACTAAACACTGTGTCGTCATATTGCTGCAATAACCACTAAAGAGGCGTATACAGCCGCGACCTCCCACCCACTAAACACTAAACACTGTGTCGTCATATTGCTGCAATAACCACTAAAGAGGCGTATACAGCCGTGCCCTTCCACCCACTAAACACTAAACACTGTGTCGTCATATTGCTGCAATAACCACTAAAGAGGCGTACACAGCCACGCCCTTCCTCCCAAACAACACTAAACACTGTGTCGTCATATTGCTGCAATAACCACTAAAGAGGCGTACACAGCCGTGCCCTTCCACCCACTAAACACTAAACACTGTGTCGTCATATTGCTGCAATAACCACTAAAGAGGCGTATACAGCCGCGACCTCCCACCCACTAAACACTAAACACTGTGTCGTCATATTGCTGCAATAACCACTAAAGAGGCGTATACAGCCGCGACCTCCCACCCACTAAACACTAAACACTGTGTCGTCATATTGCTGCAATAACCACTAAAGAGGCGTATACAGCCGCGACCTCCCACCCACTAAACACTAAACACTGTGTCGTCATATTGCTGCAATAACCACTAAAGAGGCGTATACAGCCGTGCCCTTCCACCCACTAAACACTAAACACTGTGTCGTCATATTGCTGCAATAACCACTAAAGAGGCGTACACAGCCACGCCCTTCCTCCCAAACAACACTAAACACTGTGTCGTCATATTGCTGCAATAACCACTAAAGAGGCGTACACAGCCGTGCCCTTCCACCCACTAAACACTAAACACTGTGTCGTCATATTGCTGCAATAACCACTAAAGAGGCGTACACAGCCGTGCCCTTCCTCCCAAACAACACTAAACACTGTGTCGTCATATTGCTGCAATAACCACTAAAGAGGCGTACACAGCCGTGCCCTTCCACCCACTAAACACTAAACACTGTGTCGTCATATTGCTGCAATAACCACTAAAGAGGCGTATACAGCCGCGACCTCCCACCCACTAAACACTAAACACTGTGTCGTCATATTGCTGCAATAACCACTAAAGAGGCGTATACAGCCGTGCCCTTCCACCCACTAAACAGTGTAAACACTAAACACTGTGTCGTCATATTGCTGCAGTAACGACTAAAGAGGCGTGTTCAATTGTGTCTGGGGTAGGCCACCTACTGACAACAACGGTCAGCCCTTGGTCAGCGCCCTGGACACTACGAGGTGGTCAGTCCATGATGGATTGTGACACGCCTTGCCTGGGGCAAAGATTCCTACAACCACTTGGCCGGATTAATGGACATTAATAAAGAAATGACCGCCTTCTGACATCACACACCTCGCTCCGGACATCGCTGACGACATACCGTTGGAGGGAGATATATAACAATCGTTGTGTATGATGTCAAGACGTCACACTGACTACAGCTACTTACACCTATTTATCAATGTACGCACAAAGTTCAGATTTGTGAATTCATATAGCTGTATGCCGTACTTAGCAACAGTGCACATCAGGGCTGGTACAACCTGCAGATTCAAACAAGGACCCGTGAAGATCCGGGGTAGAATAGGTCTTCAGCAACCCATGCTTGTCCCCGTGAAGATCCGGGTTGAATAGGTCTTCAGCAACCCATGCTTGTCCCCGTGAAGATCAGGGGTAGAATAGGTCTTCAGCAACCCATGCTTGTCCCCGTGAAGATTCGGGTTAGAATAGGTCTTCAGCAACCCATGCCTGTCCCCGTGAAGATTCGGGGTAGAATAGGTCTTCAGCAACCCATGCTTGTCCCCGTGAAGAATCGGGTTAGAATAGGTCTTCAGCAACCCATGCTTGTTGTAAAAGGCGACTAGGATCGGGTGGTCAGGCTCGCTGATTTGGTTGATACCTGTCATCGATCCGTACTGCGTGGATCGATGTTCATGATGTCGATTATTTACAGACCGTCGTCCAATAGCTTGAATATTGGTGAATGCGGCGTTTAACAACAAACAAACAAACGCAGATCCAAACCCGGATTTCGGTTTGACACTCATGGGCTGTTTATATTAACATCACTTAGCGAGCACATGGATGCGAGCTACAATCTGAGCTTTCTAGTTCTTAAACACGTGTAAACGTAGACGAACACATATTTTATTTCATACTACATGTCTCTCTTCTTTAATCAAGCCAGCATACGGAAGAATGGTGAAAGTTACCCGCACTTGTCTCTGGGGGTGGGGTCGGGGTCGGGGTCGGGGTTGAAGAGATTTGCTTTGATGGAGGGTAGAATGTTTGGGTGTGGGGAGGTGAGAGATCGGCAGATCGGGATGCAAGACGATAAGGCAGGGTAGGGGAGGTCAGTCAGGCACAACAGACCGGCTGAGCCAGCACTTCATGCACACAGCTCGAGCCCGCAATAAACTACGTTTATAACGAACACACTTATTTCGAACAAACAGATAAAATGAACTGGTTTTTTTTACTCGTCCATTTGCTGTATATCTGCTTATAACGAACGATTGTCATACCGAACTAAAATTAGGGGTCCTTTGAGTTCGATATGACCGTAGTAAACACTTACAACATTGAGAACACTTGACCGACGTCAAGTTAAGATTAACCACTTTACCATTTACCCCCAACCCTCCAACCCCACACCTCACCCCAAAGCCCCAACCCTCCACCCCCACGAATAGCCGGCCCCTTATAGGTATCCACTTGAAGAATATTTAAAAGAACCCAATATTTTCTTCCGAAATGAACAGGATAGCAGGATAGGTGTGAATCTAAACATCCCATGGTGCTGAAGACTTGCTTACAACTCAGCCTACAGGACCCATAAATGCATGTTTGTAACACGAACCAGCAGTTGGGCGATCTTCAGCAGATATCAAAGAGATTGCATGAGATGGAATGGGCTTGTTTTGCGCTCCTTCCAAGGAATGTGATTCATGTACCTCCTCATTGACAAAAACAGGGGCCCGCATAGACTCCTGGCACCAGACCCGCTCATCTATCAACCTCGCTGATGGCAGGCAAAAACACAAGGACACTCCGATCTCGTTACATCTCGGGATTAACCGTTGCGCCGCGAGAACTCATGAGACACTGGATTTAAACACGTAACTTCCGGTGTGAAAACACACGTTGTTAAACAGAGACCGCCTCCGTGGTCTAGTGGTAGAGCGTCCGCCCGGAGAGCCGAAGGTCCAGGGTTCGATCCTCGACCGCGTCTTACCAAAAGACGTTGAAAGATGGTACTTTTGTTACCCTGCCTGGCGCTTGGCACCAAGGGGCTAAAACAAGGACTGGTCGGCTCGGACTCAGTATACTGTGTCTGCGTGGGGTATTCATGTTAAACTGCGGCATTGTATCTAAGTGCGCTAGCACTATAGATTCGGCATTAGTCCGGGGTAAGTGAGGTGAGGTGAAATGGGGTTTAACGTCGCGTCCAAGATTATTGCACTAATAAAGCGACGTGCATGTACGTGTGTGTGTTTGTGTGGCTGCTTGTACTAGTCCGGACTGATGCCGATGTATAGTGCTAGCTCACTGAGATACCATGCCGCAGTATAACATGAATACCCCACTCAGACACAGAGTTAAAAATGACCTATCATTATGATATTTTGAGGAAAACATAATTAGAAGTCTATAACCTTGATTATATATATATATATATATATAATATATATACCTGGGTGAGTGAGTGAGTGAGTGAGTGAGAGTGACAAAGTACTTGGGATCAAGTTGCCCGGCAATACTGCATTGGTCGTATGGACCAAGACTGGGCATTTGGTTGTCTGAGATTCCACCATTCTTACAGTGAATACCACTCGGTACAGTTAACCCAGCCAGTGTACAGGATTCGCCTGTTTTCCCTTGATACAGGGACATGTAATTGGTCAAAGTTCACCTTGTTCGACGCAGGTCGTCTACGCGATGAAGCGCATGTAATATTCCAGTCAAAGCACGGACTCGTGCGGACTAATCGAACTTTAGTTTGGGAAGAGTTATGTCCCCTTTACCAGTTTACCGTCCCTGGGTGACAGGTTTTGAGACAGGACTGTAAGACATATCAGACAATTAATATAATACTTAAAAATAGAATAAGCATTATGTGTTATTGTGAAGTCGACAATTCCCGGCAAGGCTCGACCATCTTCGCTATGTTGATGTCCACTTGCGCTTTCACTACATCCGATTTTCAACCCGTGAAGATTTCGGGGTAGAATAGGTCTTCAGCAACCTATGCTTGCCGTAAAAGGCGACTATGCTTGTCGTAAAAGGCGACTGACGGGATCGGGTGGTGCATGGTTGATGCATGTCATCGATCCCAATTGCATGGATCGATGCTCATGATATTAATCACTGGATTGTCTGGTCCAGACTCGATTATTTACAGACCGCCGTCATGTAGCTGGAATATTGCTGACTGCGGCGTTAAACAATAAACCAACCAACCAACCAACCAACCAACATCCGATTTTCAGTAATCACACAACACCGCGTGCAGTCATTGCATTTTATTTGCTCAGGATGCTGTGAAGTGACGTCACTACTCGCTGGAGTTGATGTCGGCATCGTCCTCCTCCTCAGCAGCAGCGTCTGACAACAGACAGGGGAATATAGGACAGGGTCGACTTAACTCCTGGCCCGATGGGCCATAACCATTTAAAATGACAAAGGGCTTGCTGAAATGTAAAGTAGATGGCCCGTCTTGCTGGTCAAAATTTCACCCGTGCATGTTTCATTTTTTTATATTGGATCATCTCGGTAGAATGACAACCGTCAGCCATTTTGTAATATTGTGTATTCTTTGTTTGCTCATAATTCGCCACGAAATGAGGCAAATGGTAGCCAAGATTTAATCTCAGAGTGCAGGAAACAACGTTATAGGGGTGAAGAGTTTTTCAGTCACTTAGTTGTAGGCCTGTTAGTCTGGAGAAGGCCCAGTATCTTCAAAAGGAACAAGCCCTGCTGGCTACATATAGATTTGTTGCCAAATCTACCCCTGTAGGAGGACCATAGGACTGCCTCACTCACTTTGAACATTCCGGGCAAAATAGCGAGCAGATAGCCAATACTTGTCATGGAGCAAAGATCCGCTGGTAACTATACAACATTCATGCTTATTCCAAACGATTGTGAGTGAGTGAGTGAGTGAGTGTGTGGGTGGGTGGGTGAGTGAGTTAGTGAGTGAGTGAGTGAGTGAGTGAGTGGGCGGGCGGGTGGGTGAGTGAGTGAGTGAGTGGGTGGGTGGGTGGGTGGATGGGTGGATGGGGCAGTGAGTGGGTGAGTGGGTGGGTGGGTGTTTGGATGGGGCAGTGAGTGAGTGAGTGAGTGGGTGGATGGGTGGGTGGGTGGGTTAGTGAGTGAGTGAGTGAGTGAGTGAGTGAGTGAGTGAGTGAGTGAGTGAGTGGGCGGACGGTGGATGGGGGCAGTGAGTGGGTGGGTGGGTGGGTGGGTGGGTTTGGTTCGTGAGTGAGGGAGTGGGTGGGTGGATGGGTGGATGGGGCAGTGAGTGGGTGAGTGGGTGGGTGGGTTTGGTTCGTGAGTGAGGGAGTGGGTGGGTGGGTGGATGGGTGGGGCAGTGAGTGGGTGAGTGGGTGGGTGGGTTTGGTTCGTGAGTGAGGGAGTGGGTGGGTGGGTGGATGGGTGGGGCAGTGAGTGGGTGAGTGGGTGGGTGGGTTTGGTTCGTGAGTGAGGGAGTGGGTGGGTGGGTGGATGGGTGGGGCAGTGAGTGGGTGAGTGGGTGGGTGGGTTTGGTTCGTGAGTGAGGGAGTGGGTGGGTGGGTGGATGGGTGGGGCAGTGAGTGGGTGAGTGGGTGGGTGGGTTTGGTTCGTGAGTGAGGGAGTGGGTGGGTTGATGGGTGGATGGGGCAGTGAGTGGGTGGGTGGGTGGGTTTGGTTCGTGAGTGAGGGAGTGGGTGGGTGGATGGGTGGGTGGGTGGATTGGGCAGTGAGTCTAACTCCGCTTTACGTGTCCTGGCTGATTGTGTGTCATTCTTTCCATCACTGGTTTGTCATGTCCAGAAGCGGTTATTTACAGGTTGCTGTGATATTGTTGGAATATAGTTGACTGTGTAAAGGACATTCATTCACTCAATTATCAAGTCTGATGTAAGGTATATATATAAGCTGGACTACCTGAACCAAAGGTCATCAGCTCACGCATGCTCCTGGTGAATTCATCAACGCTGACTTGAGAATTGCCTGTAAATAATATACAGTTTATCACTAAATGTAATTTGAAAGTTTGTACTTCGCATCATATGATGTTTAGACAATACTACACATGTCATTCGTATATGCTTTAATAGATAACTTTTTTAATAGAATTTTACGCCCACTTACCGTCTTCATCCGCCAGAGGAAGGAGTTCCTTTGCTGCACGCGCATCAATAACCTTTTCGGCTTCTGATTGGTCAATTACGCCATCCTTATTCAGGTCGACGTCGACGTTGTCCACGTCACGTCCGTAAAAGTGGTAACCTGCAACGTACAGAAGGCTAGTTACCCTTGATTGCATGAGAGAGAGAGAGAGAGAGAGAGAGAGAGAGAGAGAGAGAGAGAGAGAGAGAGAGAGAGAGAGAGAGAGAGAGAGGGGGCTTTACTAGACCGTGATGCATAACGCCCACCCCTCGGAGTAATACAGATTCTGTTGGTTAAAAGACCGTCATCTATCCTTGTACATCATGTATAATATATATGTACCTCTTCGTATGGCCTTGTACAGTCGGTAGTGTCTATACACTCTCTTTATAACTCTCTTAACGCGTCGCCATCCACGCCTTCTGCGTCTCCATCCCTCGGCGGCAGGCAGCATCACCAGCGCGAGGAGCAGGAACACCAACAGTAGCCGCATGATGACGTTGTTGCAGATGGCGTTGACGATACCGACGTAATATATGTACTGTCTATATCTGGAACACAAAGAATACGGAGTTATATCTTGGACAAACACACAAGAAACACTGCAAAATGGGAACTTCCGTTTCGAACTTTCGATATTAACGGAAACAAGCGTCGCGACTCAAGGGCGGAAGGAACTGTCCTCAATTCAAAACTGACATCTGGTAAATGATGATAATTATGATGATATTGACGATATTTAACAGTGTACACAACTAACCAAGACAGACCAGGCTACTTCTAGGCGTCGGGTACTGGTTTCCCCCAGTCGTTCGTAGGATTTAGAGCACTTCTACATCTCCCAATATCTAAGTGGATGACGAAGTGATAGGTAAAGTTTTTTGAAGATTTTTAAAGCTATTTATTTTCATATTTGGCACCTCTATTTGGAGAAAGAATAATGTATATTCGTCGGCATTCCAATTGGCACCATTGTACATAAGACTTCAAGAAAACGAGAACAAATTGCAAACCCAATTATCATCAATTGCGGGGACATTGCCGTCACGTTCGACGTTGACTATATTATCCAGGCAGTCATAAAAAACCCGATCCATTGTAGAATCGAGCTGTCAATTTATGCAAAGCTACAGGTGAAAATGATCGTCTGAAGAAACGATCAATATATATCTCGTCAAGGGACTATACGACTCGCCTCTCACTGCAGTCTGTGTGTCACTTCAAGGGACTATACGACTCGCCTCTCACTGCAGTCTGTGTGTCTCGTCAAGGTACTATACGACTCGCCTCTCACTGCAGTCTGTGTGTCACTTCAAGGGACTATACGACTCGCCTCTCACTGCAGTCTGTGTGTCACTTCAAGGGGCTATACGACTCGCCTCTCACTGTTGTCAGTGTGTCTCGTCAAGGTGCTTTAAGCCAAGCCTCTTACTGTCGTTTGTGTTTTTCGTCAAGGTACTATACGACTCGCCTCTCACTGCCGTCAATGTGTCTCGTCAAGGGACTTTAAGCCTAGCCTCTCACTGCCGTCAGTGTGTCTCGTCAAGGTGTCATAAGACTCGCCTCTCACTGACGTCAGTGTGTCTCGTCAAGGTACGTTACGTTTCGCCTCTCACTGTCGTCAGTGTGTCTCGTCAAGGTACGTTACGTTTCGCCTCTCACTGCCGTCAGTGTGTCTCGTCAAGGTGTCATAAGACTCGCCTCTCACTGACGTCAGTGTGTCTCGTCAAGGTGCTTTAAGCCTAGCCTCTCACTACCGTCAGTTTTTCTTCAGGGGACTTTACGATTTGCCTCTCACTGCCGTCAGTGTGTCTCGTCAGGGGACTTTACGACTTGCCTCTCACTGCCGTCAGTGTGTCTCGTCAGGGGACTTTACGACTCGCCTCTCACTGTTGTCAGTGTGTCTCGTCAGGGGACTTTACGACTTGCCTCTCACTGCCGTCAGTGTGTCTCGTCAAGGGACTTTACGATTTTTTTCTCACTGCCGTCAGTGTGTCTCGTCAAGGTGCCATAAGACTAGCCACTCACTGCCGTCAGTGTGTCTCGTCAAGGTACTGTACGGCTCGCCTCTCACTGCCGTCAGTGTGTGTGTCTTGTCAAGTTGCTATAAGCCTAGCTCCTCACTGCCGTCAGTGTGTCTCGTCAAGGTGCTTTAAGCCTAGCTCCTCACTGCCGTCAGTGTGTCTCGTCAAGGTGCCATAAGACTAGCCTCTCACTGCCGTCAGTGTGTCTCGTCAAGGTACTGTACGGCTCGCTTCTCACTGCCGTCAGTGTGTGTGTCTTGTCAAGTTGCTATAAGCCTAGCTCCTCACTGCCGTCAGTGTGTCTTGTCAAGTTGCTATAAGCCTAGCTCCTCACTGCCGTCAGTGTGTGTGTCTCGTCAAGTTGCTATAAGCCTAGCTCCTCACTGCCGTCAGTGTGTCTCGTCAAGGTGCTTTAAGCCTAGCCTCTCACTGCCGTCAGTGTGTCTCGTCAAGGTACTGTACGGCTCGCCTCTCACTGCCGTCAGTGTGTGTGTCTTGTCAAGTTGATTTAAGCCTAGCTCCTCACTGCCGTCAGTGTGTCTCGTCAAGGTGCTTTAAGCCTAGCCTCTCACTGCCGTCAGTGTGTCTCGTCAAGGGACTTTACGACTGGCCCCTCACTTTTGTCAGTGTGTCTCGTCAAGGGACTTTACGACTCGACTCTCACTGCATTCTGTGTGTCTCGTCAAGGTACTATACGACTCGCTCCTCACTATTGTCAGTGTGTCTCGTCAACTTACTGTACGACTCGCCTCTCAATGTCGTCAGTGTGTCTCGCAAAGGGACTTTAAGCCAAGCCTCTCACTACCGTCAGTTTTTCTTCAAGGGACTTTACGACTTGCCTCTCACTGCCGTCAGTGTCTCGTCAAGGGACTTTACGATTTTCTTCTCACTGCCGTCAGTGTGTCTCGTCAAGGTGCCATAAGACTAGCCTCTCACTGCCGTCAGTGTGTCTCGTCAAGGTACTGTACGGCTCGCCTCTCACTGCCGTCAGTGTGTGTGTCTCGTCAAGTTGCTATAAGCCTAGCTCCTCACTGCCGTCAGTGTGTGTGTCTTGTCAAGGTGCTATAAGCCTAGCTCCTCACTACCGTCAGTGTGTGTGTCTTGTCAAGGTGCTATAAGCCTAGCTCCTCACTACCGTCAGTGTGTGTGTCTTGTCAAGGTGCTATAAGCCTAGCTCCTCACTGCCGTCAGTGTGTCTCGTCAAGGTGCTTTAAGCCTAGCCTCTCACTACCGTCAGTGTGTGTGTCTTGTCAAGTTGCTTTAAGCCTAGCTCCTCACTACCGTCAGTGTGTGTGTCTTGTCAAGGTGCTTTAAGCCTAGCCTCTCACTACCGTCAGTGTGTTTCGTCAAGGGACTTTACGACTGGCCCCTCACTTTTGTCAGTGTGTCTCGTCAAGGTACTGTACGTCTCGCCTCTCACTGCATTCAGTGTGTCTCGTCAAGTTCCTGTGCGCCTGGCCCCTCACTGCCGTCAGTGTGTCTCGTCAAGTTCATGTGCGCCTGGCCTCTCACTGCAGTCTGTGGGTCTCGTCAAGGAACTGTGCGCCTGGCCCCTCACTGCCGTCAGTGTGTCTTGTCAAGTTCCTGTGCGCCTGGCCTCTCACTGTCTTCAGTGTGTCTCGTCAAGTTCCTGTGCGCCTGGCCTCTCACTGCAGTCTGTGGGTCTCGTCAAGGAACTGTGCGCCTGGCCTCTCACTGCAGTCTGTGGGTCTCGTCAAGGAACTGTGCGCCTTGCCTCTCACTGCCGTCAGTGTGTCTTGTCAAGTTCCTGTGCGCCTGGCCTCTCACTGCCGTCAGTGTGTCTTGTCAAGTTCCTGTGCGCCTGGCCTCTGACTGTCTTCAGTGTGTCTCGTCAAGTTCCTGTGCGCCTGGCCTCTCACTGCCGTCAGTGTGTCTTGTCAAGTTCCTGTGCGCCTGGCCTCTCACTGTCTTCAGTGTGTCTCGTCAAGTTCCTGTGCGCCTGGCCTCTCACTGCAGTCTGTGGGTCTCGTCAAGGAACTGTGCGCCTGGCCTCTCACTGCAGTCTGTGGGTCTCGTCAAGGAACTGTGCGCCTGGCCTCTCACTGCCGTCAGTGTGTCTTGTCAAGTTCCTGTGCGCCTGGCCTCTCACTGCCGTCAGTGTGTCTTGTCAAGTTCCTGTGCGCCTGGCCTCTGACTGTCTTCAGTGTGTCTCGTCAAGTTCCTGTGCGCCTGGCCTCTCACTGCCGTCAGTGTGTCTTGTCAAGTTCCTGTGCGCCTGGCCTCTGACTGTCTTCAGTGTGTCTCGTCAAGTTCCTGTGCGCCTGGCCTCTCACTGCAGTCTGTGGGTCTCGTCAAGGAACTGTGCGCCTGGCCTCTCACTGCAGTCTGTGGGTCTCGTCAAGGAACTGTGCGCCTGGCCTCTCACTGCCGTCAGTGTGTCTTGTCAAGTTCCTGTGCGCCTGGCCTCTCACTGCCGTCAGTGTGTCTTGTCAAGTTCCTGTGCGCCTGGCCTCTCACTGCCGTCAGTGTGTCTTGTCAAGTTCCTGTGCGCCTGGCCTCTCACTGCAGTCTGTGGGTCTCGTCAAGTTCCTGTGCGCCTGGCCTCTCACTGCAGTCTGTGGGTCTCGTCAAGGAACTGTGCGCCTGGCCTCTCACTGCAGTCTGTGGGTCTCGTCAAGGAACTGTGCGCCTGGCCTCTCACTGCAGTCTGTGGGTCTCGTCAAGGAACTGTGCGCCTGGCTTCTCACTGCCGTCAGTGTGTCTCGTCAAGGTACTATACACATAGCCTCTCACTGCCGTCAGTGTGTCTCGCCAAGGAACTGTGCGCCTGGCCTCTCACTGCCGTCAGTGTGTCTCGTCAAGGTACTGTGCGCCTGGCCCCTCACTGCCGTCAGTGTGTCTCGTCAAATCGCCGTCACATTTGTGAAATACTGCTTTTGACAACAAGCACAATATTCTGTTCGAGTTGAAATAACTGAATATATAACCTGTTTTTATAAACCTCAACCCACTACCTGCCACACATGTACTAAAAGTAAGAACATTTTGACAAGGAATAACTCAACAACGCCAGGAGAGAGATAACAAAGACCGACTTACCTCCGGGCTGCAGGGGAAATGCAGTAGGTCCGGGAGTGTCCTATTTATGCACAGCGATTGCTGAGTGTGGACACTGATCATGGACAGGCGATATTTCCTGGTAACACACTTTCACACTTTGAAACAAAACTGCAAAAACTGCAATATTTCATCTATCACGACATATGGACTATCGATTCTACATAATATTCCAAAATAGCATGGTGCAAAATTAGGAGACGGTTATTTGGGCAGGAGTTTATTCCAATTGGAAAGTAGTTGTCAGGGCCTGAAATAATTGGGTAGTATTGGTGGAGCCCGTTTTGAGCCTGGTCAGAACAGCAATCAATGCTTGCCTCTGCTTGTCGTAAGAGGATCGGGTGGTCAGGCTCGCTGACTTTGGTGATGCATGTCATCGTATCTCAATTGTGTGGATCGATGCTCATGATATTAATCACTGGATTATCTACACTTTCACTTTCACTACTGTTGGCAGTTTAAAAACCTGTCCCAAATAAATGTCTAGAA